TTTTGGGAAGGATTGTTTCCCTTTGGTAAATTGTAATAAGGTGAATTGTTTCCCTTTAATTTTTAAGGATGTTTTTCCTGACATAGAAATTTTGTTAGTTACTATAATTGGACAATTTTTAAGTTCGATATAGTGATTGCCATTTTTGTGTAACAAAAATGCCTCTCTAAAAGGGAGGGGATGTGACCTACTTAGGTCTTTTTGCTTTATTTATATTTAGTCTCCTGAGTTATGTATTTGTCCTTGGGAGAATTGTGAGTTCACCGGTTCATTTCGGTCAACTGAACTCCGTCGCATCATGTGATTGTATGTTTAATCCCTGGCAGATCCTCAACCAATGGTCTTGCGACCGTGAGGATCCTTGACAGATCCTCAACCAATAGTCGTAAGACTTTTGAGTTATTTCCCCTATTATTGAATGCTATTTAATCTCGGGATTTTCAAGTTCAAAGGCAGCCAGATTGACCTTTGGACCAGGAGAGGTGTGCCGGTGGTTATGTGGCCATTTTGGCAGTATTGTAATTATGTGAAATGTTTTTTCACCTTTGTATAAGGTATTATGTGACTAGTTGTAGTTTACTGAATTTGTGTTCTGGTGTATTATTGCACCTTGTTGACTACATCGGTGATAGTTTGACCTTTATATGGATTTCTATTGTTGTAGAGGCAATAAGTCTCTTCTTGGTTTTTTGTGGTAATTATGATGCCATTCAGTTGTGTGAAGTAATGATCTTTATTGGTGTATAATATACTAAGCCACAGCTGTGATATATTGTGATTTTCTCAAACTGTAAGTTGGAGTTTTTGAGTTTATTTATTGTACTCTTAGAGTCTGTACATTTTGAACTTACCTAGTGTCATAATCTTGTACATTTATTAAAAAGGTATTGATAGTTTAAGTCGTGTTGAGTCTCTTCGATTTGTCGTGTTTACCCCTAGACAGCATTAACGAGCTCACGGCAAGTTGTTGGGATTCCATTAGAGTGACTTCTATCGGTACCATACCAAACAAACCTGGGGTGTCCGCTCCCTCCGCGGCTGTCGGAGAGCGGCCCATAACATTCTTTTAGTAAGTTTTTAATATTATTGGCAGCGATCCTGTATGTATTATTCAACATGTTTAGGGTTCTGGTGCATTTCATTTTCATTGTAGATATCGATTGTATTTTATTGGTTTGTTTACAGTGTTGAGGTGTACCTACTTACAATTTTTACGCTATTTTTGATGTGTTCGTGGTTTTTTACTAAAATGTTTTACAACACTCTTACATGAAAATATCATTGCATTCTTTCCTCCAAACTAAAATCAAAAGGATTCATTGTCGACTCAAACATAAACAAAACAATATAAAATAGTTTCTTTTCTATACTATTAATATTTTTTTTGTTAAATACACACATTTCACCGAAAGACATACTATTTTTTTTTATATTATTGCCCGTTCGGTTAAACGACTTTACGACATTTGACTTTTGGTAAATCGTCACCATTTTTGGAACATCCACTTTGGGAAATTTTCGTATTCAGGCAAATAGCAATCTGGAAAACTGCCTTAGGAGGAACGATATTCCAACCAGTGTTTTTCGGTTATTTTCGATACACAATTTTCTACTTAGAAAATAATCCTACGAAATTAATCGTAGGCCAACACATTTTGTTTTTTGCAGGAAACATTTAATCAGTGTGTTACCTATGTAGTTAACAATACTTTTTTTCTTCACGTGGATCGCATATTGCTGTTGATTATTAAGCTGATGCATATTTATAACAACGGCTATTTAACTGCTATGACTACTTGATATAAAACTTACAAAAATAGATATTTTAGTAGCGTGACCCGTATTTCCACATCACACAGTATAAGTTTTAACAATAAAAATATTGGTAATACTCGTCAAGGTGGTGATCTTGAGATAACGTTGATTGTGGTAGCAGTTTAAAAAAATATTTTTAAGATGCAGGTATGTAAATAATAATTATTCCGGTTATCTTTTGAGCATTATAGCGCCTACGGTAATTTTAACGAGAGCATTACAATTTTGACAGGGCGGTGATTAAACCGAGCTAGGGTTCGTACGCGGTACCCCTGTAGTAGTATAATTGGGGGCTCACGAGAGCGTCCTCAACGTCCTCGTCACTTAGGTGGTGAGTGATTAACGGTGATATTACGGTGAGTGATGAACGTACACTCAAGGCTTTCATACAACACTCGCCATTGTGTGATGGGTGATGGTGTAAGTAAACGCGTGCCCGATACCAATGATCCAAGCGCAGGCATTGTTTTGCATTTAAAAAACTCAATTTTAGAAAAGGAGGTCGCGAGTCTAAGAATATAGGAATATATTGTTAGTAATGCTTTGATTAAACCCTTCTAATATATTTTGTCAGATTTTATTTGTGTTTTATGCATTTCTACACCTTTCATCTGATCGCCATGAATCATCGGTAGTTTGTTGAGAATACTCCTGGTGAGATATTCCCTTATGCAGGGTGTAATTTGGCACCCCGTGGGTATCCCGTAAGCGCTATTGCGCTACGTGCGTTTTAAACAGTGCGATAGACTATGAATAAGGTGGGCGCTATAGTCATTCACTATTTTGAAACAGACGCGTTAAGCTTCGCCTCGGCAGGGTGCAATTTGGCGCCCAGGGCCGTCGCTTGAGCGCTATGGCGCATAAGTTCGTTTTAAAGTGTGTGATAGAATATGGATAACAAGAAGTATTATCAATTATATGCATAAATTACGATTGTCTTTCATACTTTTTTCTTTATCTCTCTTCCTATTATTACAAATGTGTTTAAACGATAAAATGCAATATTAATATATCTTTTAAGAATAGGTTTAGTTGGGTATCAAAAGGGATGAACTGAAAGTGTGATATTATCTTTTGGAATAAAAATATAACTAGAATCAGTGGCGTAGCGAGGTCGAGTGTCACCCGGTGCGGCACTTAATGGTGTCACCCCCCCCCCCCCAGAGGCGTAGTGACCCTTCCCGGGGACAAACTTTCAAATTTTCGATTTGCAACCCCCCCCTCCTCAAACTTTCGATTTGCTCCCCCTCCCCCCTCAAGTTTTTCTCTATATATTTTGCAATCGTTTGCCTTGGTGTCACCCCCTCCCCCAAAATGGTGTCACCTGGTGCGGTTCGCACCCCCCCCCCCCTCGCTATGCCTCTGACTAGAATGAGCATGAATCTCAATTTCTTTAATTTTAGGGAAAATAAATACACTAGGTCCTATTTTACCATCCTAATTATATAAACGCCTATGTCCGCACTTCTCTCTGTTCGCAATATTTTCTTCCACGTCGTCAGCATGTTCAGCGAAATGTGGAGAACTTAAAGATACGGACTTTTGTTGAAAGTAATATGATGGCCGTTATAAATGTATGAACTAAATTTCTTTAAAGAATATTCGGATGTAGAAACAGATTTCTAACAAACGCGTTTATTGTCGTGACAAGAACGCATTAAACAATGACGTCACATGTCATATGTTTACACTAAGGAAATAACACAAAACTAATGGCGTCATCTTCCAAATCAATAATATAAAGAAATGAACTATTTCATTTAAATTTGATTTAGATCAATGTACGCTATGAAATGTATACAATCCTTAATTATTTTATATAAATATTTGTCGGCTCAGCTATTTCGGATAAAATGTAATTTGAAATAATAGGGCCTATTCGAGTAACTGAAGTTTCTAACGCGCCTTCCATATATAAACTACAACACTAATTTTATATCTTTTATATCTGAACTTCCCAGATACTTGAGCTGATAGAGTAATAGTTACCATGCGGGTGGTACGGGTTCGAAACACATCGTGTAAATGTTAATTTTTTTTCAATTGTTTTTTTAGATGTGAATGATAAATCTGCCTATCGGGACTTGGCGGACCACGGGTCATGTGAAGTAGAGTTCACCCGTATTTTTCTTCTCAGTATATGGAGCGACAGTGTGGTCAGACCCATGCTCAGCCTAAATAGGTGTTTTTTAAAAGGCTAAAGCATCAAAACTACCATTAAACAGCCTGGTTTTTAACAAAATCATTTAAGTCTCTTAATTTTAAGTCTCGTAATCAGCGTGTGCATTTAATATGGTGTTGACTAATAATGTATGTAAATTTGTTTTAATTTTTCTAATAGGTATTAGTAGTCTATGTTATTTTAAACAAGTACAAACATAGATCGTATATAAAACAAACCCTTTCTTTTCGTGTGTGTTTTTTTTCAGAATCTTAACAATGTTTCATTTGAATGCTCCTGATCAATAAAATGTTTCTTTTTTAAATTTTCCGATAATTACTTTTTAAAAAAGCTGAATTACAATTCATCTTATTACTCATTTTCCTTAGATATATACAATTTCTTCAGGCATCTCTATCTTTTCTTCCCCTTTCATAAAAAAATAGAAAAACCAATAACCGCTACTCCCAATTCCCCCCCCCCCCCCCCCCCACGCACACACACACACCCCACACGATCCTCCGGACAGTTTTAAATGCCCTACCCGGAGATAAATATCTAAAGGAAAACCGCGTAGGCCATATGTAAAGAGAAAAGAGATAACAGTCACCAGAATTCCCTACGGGTACCTATGGCTAGTTATAACATAACTGTAGTGCACACGATTCTCAATAACCCTAACTTTTAGGGAATACACATATACACATCAATTGCATTATTACTCTGTTGAATTGAACCCGTTTCTCTGACGTAAACACAATCTGTTACAGACTACCTTGCCTGGATTAAATATTAGTATTAGCTATTGTAAATAGTCAAATCTTCTAGGTCAAGGCAATGTGTTGCAGAAGAAATATACATAGAAGACCTACGAAAATATCTTCATCGTAATCAATGCTAACATGTGTCAGCAAGGCAAGCATTTATTCTTGTAAACAATACTTAGCGATTCAACAAGGAAGTTTCCTTTTATACTTTATATTTAATCATCTAAAGCTCTTAAGCACCTTCATCTTCAAACAATACCAGCAACATAGATTACCTTTGCTGGAGTGGAAACAGATGTGCGTCACTGTAGGATAGTTATAAAGTCCATGAGTTAGACTGGACACATCACGACTGGCAGACGTATCCGGACCTGCTAACTTAGACACGTCCAAGCTCTACACCCAGAGTGGACGCAACAAGTACCGACGGTTGTTTAGAAGATTCTGGAATAAGAGGTGAGAATCTTAACAGGCTTCGATCATAAAGACTCTCAACAAAATAGTTCACCTTATTGATGTCAGGGGCGGAACTACTATGCCGCAGACTCCGCAGTGCGGAGACGGTGGGGGAGGGGGTGCAAGCCGTTTGGGGGGGGGGGGGGGGGACAGACAGCCGAACATAACTTATATATTTTTTTAAAATTTGGATTTAATGTTCGTGCATTTTTGCATTTATATTTGGTTTGTACAAAAAATATCGTAGCTGCGGTACTGCTATCTTTATTTTAAATTCACTATACCACTCTCCACCGCAAACAGTAAAATCCACTACACAAACTGTAGTGTAAGATACAAGCAAAGCTTATATTTTCTAATGGCTTCTGTGACTAGTTGCTCCCCTTTGATAGCCAGAAAGGGGCACGTAACACGTTCACACATTGGCATAAATAACTGTTCAACATGGTCCTCCAAAATTTACTGTTGCGAGATTGGGAAGGGGGTGGGGCAAATAAAGGGGCTCGAAAATTGTTCCAGATTTATTTATATATATAGAAAGTTATTTATAATTGAATTTTTTATCCATCGTCAAGTCCGAGTTCAATTTCGCCTCAAACACACGCTGTTGCCGGCAAAAGTCTTTGAAAAAAAAAACAATAAAAAAGTCCATAGCTCGAGAAGCCGCTAATATATGTTGTGGGCCTTCTGTTTACTTTTTTTTTTTTTTACTATTTCGTTCGTTTCTTTTTTTAGCGTTTCTTTGAGTTGGAAACTTGGTAATCTATTATTTCTTCAAAACATTTTCTTATTTTTTTTAAAGATCCCTGATAGGAAAATCTACTCCTCTCATATCTCGAGAAAAAAAAAGAATTCTAATTAAGCACGTTAAAGTTTTTTCATCTTCTAAAAATAATTGTTTAAGCTTATTTTATTGAGTTTTAATTGTTTTTTCTATGATTATCAAGAAATGATTCTAATCCATGACAAAGATATACAGGACATATTTTAAACATCAAAACAACCATAGGGAGTTAAAATATTTCAACTGATTTTTATATAGAATAAAGTCTGACGAAATATATTAGAAGGATATCACCAATGCATTACCAATCATATGTTCTTAGACGCGTGACCTTGTTTTCTAAAACTGTGTTATTTAAATGTTAACAATGCCTGCGCTTGGATAATAATTATCGGGACACGGGTTTTCCTACACTACCGCATGAAAACCTTGAGCGTATATAATCACTCACCGAAATAATGAGGTAGAACACACTTCGGTGACCACCCATATGTCAGGGACGTAGAGGGGCGCTCTCAGGAGCCCCCCCCCCCACTCCCCGAGTACAATACCGGAGAGGCGCAGCGTACGGCCCCTGGCTCCTTAAAACTAACAGGTGCCATCGTGCTCATAGGATAACCCAGAGTACCAAAGAGCATCCTGTAAACAATCATGCAGATTTCGTCATTCGCTAAAGTGACACAAATGAACAGGATTTTTTTCTTTACCACATGAAAAAATTATTTGACGTGTTTTAAACATCAGTTTGACTGATGCAATATGCTAGCGTTACTAATGGTCTATTATTAGATGCTCGATCTTAATTTCGGACTAGATCGTCTAATAATAGATGTTTATTGCATCATTCGCAAAGTGACGAAACTCAACACTAGGCTCCTTGTATTCAAAAAGTTATTTTTTCATCTTGTACAGGATTTCCTCGCGTTTCAAACTTATTTTTAGAAGCCTGTTTTAGTTTTACTGCTGAATATAGTAGTATCCCTTACTCGCTATGCAGGGCGCTCGATTAACGGATGCCAAGTGCCAACATAGTCGCTCTAAAACTCTGGGCGCCAAACCGTGTATTGACGAAAGTTGTACCCTACATGGCGCCGCCCATAAGAAACTTCAGTTTTCTTTTTCGCAGAAATATTCTCGGGAGTATTCTCATCTACTCCCTAAAGTTTCATGGCACTCGGATGAACCGCATCCGAGTTTTATTTTTTATATACCGCTTATAGAGAAAAAAATCGCTCCCCCGGGGGCACCGCCCTTGCAATATTAAACAATATTTTTTGCAGAACCCTACCATTGAGTGATCTAATCATCTCCCCAAAGTTTCATGGTACACGGATGACAGTGTGAAACAGAAATAGACTTTTATTTTTATAAACCGTATATAGAGAAAAAACAATTCGCGCCCTGCCGGGGCGCCACCCCTGCGAATTTGAAAAAGTTGTTAGCGCAGAAACCTCCCCATAAATATTCTCAACATATTCCCAAAGTTTGATGGCGATCGTGTAAACGGTGTCACGGCAATTCACTTTTATTATTTTTATATACGGTATATAGAGACAAATCACACCCTCCCGTGGCGCCGCACTTGTGAAATTAAAAATGATTTTTTACAGAACCCTTCCTTAACGTGTTCTAATGAACTCACCAAAGTTTGATAGCGATCAGATGAATGGTGTCAAACCACAATCGACTTTTATTTTAATATACCGTATATAGAGAAAAACAAATCGCGCCCTGCCGGGGCGCCACCCCTGCTAATTTTGAATATTTTTTTTCAGAAACCTCCCCAGGAATATTCTCAACAAGTTCTCAAAGTTTCACGGCGATGTTATAAGTGGTGTCGTAATGCATAAAAGACACACACACACAGACAGACACACAAAAATTGCTTTTTATATATATAGATAGATAAATAGATATATAGAGAAAACAAATCGCGCCCTACCGGAGTGTGAATCTGCAATCGACTCTTATTTTTTATATACCGTATATAGAGAGAAAACAATTCGCGCCCTAGCGGAGCGCCTCCCCTGCGAATTTGAAAATGTATTTTAAGCAGAAACCTCCCAAAGAATATTCTCAACATATTCTCAAAGTTTGATGGCGCTCGTGTGAATGGTGTCACTGTAATTCACTTTTATTATTTTTATATACCGTATATAGAGAAATCCCGTGGCGCCGCCCTTGCGATATTAAAAATGATTTTTTTACAGAACCCTTCCCTAAATTGCTCAAATTAACTCCCCAAAGTTTGACGGTGATTGGATGAACAGTGTGAATCTGCAATCGACTCTTAATTTTTAAATACCGTATATAGAGAGAAAATAAATCGCGCCCTGCCGGGGCGACACCCCTGCGAATTTGATTTTTTTCCCGCTAAAACCTCCCCAGGAATATTGTTAACAACTTCCCAAAGTTCGACGGCGATGTGATAAGAGGTGTGGTAATGCATAAAAGACACACAGACAGACACACACACACATTGCTTTTTATATAGATTGATACAATATCATTTTTTAGCATTTCTTTACACATTTAACTCTACATAATAATACTTAATCTCGTAATGTTTTTTTACACCATTTGATTATTTGTGTTATCAAAGAGACAGTTAAAACTCAAACTTAACTTTCAATTTTTTTAAATTTTTATATTTGTTTGCTTTGTTTTTGTTGTTTTTTTTTAAATTGATCTTTTACACTTAAAAAAATATGAATTAACTTTAATGTCTTAATACCATCACATTAGGATTTGCTAAAATTTAAGTTATTTAATTTGTTGATTGTTGATTTGTTGATTCTTGATGTTTATACTGGCCGAACTGTTAATCAGTTAAGTGCATTGTAATTGTATTATTCAAATACATCAATGCAATTGTCTTAAATAGCAAAAGACGTATTCAAAGGAACTTAAAACTATATTGTGGGTTTTAATCACATTTTACTCTAGAAGGTGAACTGATTTGCATGTAATAACTTAAAGATTTAAACTTGTTTTGGGACACATACCTTAAACATTCCAAATCGACTTCATTTTTTTATGAACCTCTATCACATTTTTAACGCCAACTATATACATTTCATTACTATAGAATGCACATAAAAAACATTGTTTTTTCTTGTGAAAACCAGTATTAAAAATAGTAGCCTACACTTTATAAAATTTCTGATTGATTGTTGAGTTATGACTTGCTCACAGATAAACATTCAACGTTCTTTAGATATGGCGTTGACGAGTTCAAAGCTAAATATCATTTTTGTGTTGGTCTTCTGTGTATCTCATGCACAAGGTGAGTATCTGTTACATTTATATTTTTATACATTTTTAGATACAGTTTTATACATTAATTAAAACAAATAATAAAGAAAAGTTGAAATAACAGACCGAAATTGCTCTTTGAATAGAAAAGTTTATCTGTCTTGTCTATAATAATTTTGTATTGATACAAATGATTGTACCTGTCTTGTCTAAAATAATTGTGCATTGATAAGGCTTTGTCTACCTGTCTTGTTTAAAATAATTTTGTATTGATGAAGTTTTGTCTACCTGTCTTGTCTAAAATAATTGTGTATTGATAAAGCTTTGTCTACCTGTCTTGTCTAAAATATTTTTGTATTGATCAAGCGTTGTTTACCTGTATGGCTAAAATGATTTTGTTTTGATCAAGCTGTGTGTACCTGTGAGAAAACTCCGCCTAGTGGAAATTGTGTTTGTCAGTCTGACAACTCAAATCCTGCCCAGTGTAAAGGTGAGAGATTTGTTTCATACTGTTATAAGATATTATGATAAGGTTTATATATTATCTAATTACTCCTGTTGTTTGTAATGTATCAAAAAATAGGATGTCGCCTAAGATTTTAAACTTCATTATTGTTCAAGATGACTTAAACATTTAAAATACTTTTATATACCTTTAATTTAATACCAATTTTATTTATCAAATGTAATTGGTAGAAAAAGATGTGTGAACAAACGCGTTTATTTTTTTAAATCGCTAGGATGATATAAGTGATTTTCAGTGATATGGTTGGGTAGTTTTTTAAGGAGTATTGTTGTGAAGCAATTGATCGTTCACTGCCGTTCAGCAGAAATGTGTTGTCTGCTAGACTTGTCCCCATTAGTTAGTTTTTTAACACGTTTTTATTAACTCAGCTTCGCGTTTGTGTGTTTGTTGTTAAAATTGACATCGAAAATTAGCCCACTTCTGATTGCTCTAGAGACCTGAAATTTGGCATGCATGCTACTTTCGCCTAACAATTTCAGATGCAATCATAAAAACTAGCAATTAGTGACCGTAATTAGCTTAATTTAATTACGCCCCAAGGACCATAAAATTGTGGACATGATTTCTAAAAATACCGACAAGACTTGAGGCCTATTGACACAGTTACTTCGGCCCCAATCGATGTGAGCGCGCTGGCCGTGATCGTATAGTGGTTAGTTTTTTATGTGTAGCAACGGACTATAAAGGAGAACGGACACGGTAACACATTGTTAACGGTGACACGGTTGGTACGCTGGGCATGCTAAAATACACATAAACACGTTTTCCTTAACTCAGCTTCGCGTTTATTTGTTTGTTTATGGGAGATTTGATCACGTGATTCGTGAGTAGATCTCCACGCCAGCAACGTAAATTACACCCTTTCTCTGTTTAAAGCGTATCGGTCGCTCAAGATTTTTTTTGTCCGTGTATTTAAAAACACTTAGTCAAGTCATACTTAATCAAGTGATTAGATAAAGTAGAAAATAAACTATATAAAAAACTTTTTAAAAACCACGTTTTTCATGTGTAGCAACGGACTAAAAAGGAGAAAATAAAATACTTAAAAAAAAACTTTTAAAAAAACCACGTTTTTCTTGTGGACTGAAAAGTAGAAAATAAATTTTCATACATTTGATGACAAAAAACGTGGGTCGGGCAGATGGGTCGGGAAATTTGATGGTGAACGTACCCACGTTTTTTGTCATCAAATGTATGAAAATTTATTTTCTACTTTTCAGTCCACAAGAAAAACGTGGTTTTTTTAAAAGTTTTTTTTTAAGTATTTTATTTCTTGATCAAGTTATTTTTTATAGGTTTTGTTTTTACCATGTATGATTTTTTAATCATTAATGACATTAGTTTAGTAGAATGCAAGTTAAAATTTTCTATATTTTAAAATACACTTTCAGCATGTTTAATAAATATAGCTTACTTTTATTATGTTCTGCTCGATATTATTAGCGATTAGACAAAAACAATGGCAAGTTTGCATCAAACACGAATCGTTCATTGTTAAAACTTGACCGGTATTGTTGAATAATACGCAAAAATAACGATTTTAAGTATATATTTCTGAAATGTCCATGAAACAAAAAAAACGGAATCACGGTAACGTCACTTTCAGCAGCCTTAAATTACCATACTTAACTTACTTAATCCTCATCACTCCCTGTGGAGTATAGGGCAGCAACAAATCTCCGCCATTCCGCTCTGTCTTTGGCGAGCCACTTTAGTTCATGCCAGGTTTTGCCAGTAGCCTACTCTTCTTCTTCCATCTCTCTCCTCCATGTTCCTAGTGGTCTTCCTCTCTTTCGCTTCCCAGGCGAAGTCCACTACACCGCCATGTTGGGGAGTCTTCTTTTGCTCATGCGTAGGACATGGCCCAGCCATCTCCTCATTCGAACTTCTGAAACAATGTCGTTTAATCCTGTCCTTCGCCGTATTTCCTTGTTCGGGACTTTGTCGTCCCACGTTATTCTGAGGATACGTTAGAGGGATCTTTTTAAATTTCCATGACGACGGTAAAAAAAGGGTCAAGCGACTTGCTATCATCTCTCTCTCTCTCTGTATATATATATATATATATATATATATATATATATATATATATATATATATATATATATATATATATATATATATAGGCCTATATATATGAAATTAATAATACTGTAATGAGCAATAATTTTTAATATTTATTTTAGCCTGTGTATGTGACCACATAACGAAGTATGGGAATGGGCCTTTACTCTGCTCTTGTAGACCTGGCTATGCAATCAGCAGCATAGATCGCAAGAAGTGTGCAGGTAAGTTACACATCAGTTTTTATTTCACTTTGTGTGTCTAAACAGGTAAATGATATTTTTTTAATGAACTCGCGTCTTTACTATATCTATACCATTCCTTTTACACTATGGCCATAGTTACGCCAATGATTTTATTACACTGCTTTATTTAATTTGGAACTGAAACAGCTAGTAAAACATTGCATTTATTTTTATCTTTTCCTGCTCGTGCCCAAGACGCGTGGGAGAGATGAAGTAGAGTTCATCGGTTTTGATAAGCCCGTTTCGGGAATACTTATCCACGTTCTAATAAATATAACCCGGGATCCGGACTTTAAACTTTCGGGTTAGGAGTCGAACGCCTTACTATCTGACCAGGGTGTTGACAGCTTTATCCTTAATAATAATCTAAGTCGACGAATACATAAATCAGGCTTACTGAAACGATACAGCTTGGCTGTACATGTGACTGAATTGCCATGTCCTTCTAAAGATAAACTACCTGACAGGATTCCTATTGTTAATATGAAGTGTATTCACACAAAGAAGTACACTTTGGTTGAGTCATATAGATTTACTTCTTTCTGTAATTTGTATCAGACTTATCAGACCACCCAAACCAGCTGTTTTTAACTGTTTTGGATGTACCGAACTCCACCAGTTACATATGTGCCTTCACTGAACCATTTTCAATTATTATATTGTACGCATTAATGAATTCCGATCGTGGATCACAAGAGTTTCTCCGGACCCCTGAGACTGACTCAAGGAACCCCAGGGATTTGAACCCCAGTGTTAGGGGGTCAAGCTTTACGTGACACAATTCAATATAAATAAATGAGTACCACTATGATCACTCACATCACATCGTGAATCACTTAGCACAATGTTTTCTTCGTTAAATTTGTTTTCACTACTGTCCTTATTTAAATATGAATACAAATATCCCGAATGAGAATCACTGACCAAGACGAAGCAATCTTTCTTATAAGACTGAGGAGAACTTAATCTCTCACTTAATCACCTAAGCTAGACTACATTACGACAATCAAGACCGAGCTCTATTTGTACGCATATCGTCTTTTTCAACTGATGATCAATTGTTTTTAGGCTTGCGTTTCTATAGTATTATTTTTTAAAGAATTAACACAGAATTAACACAAAGTATGCATCACTACATTATCTATTAAATAACCTTACTAAAGTGGAAGAAACAACCACGCTATGGGTATTCTAAAAGTAGTGCATTATTATATAATTTTGGAAATTGTTTATTTTCTACTTTTAGTGCTTTATTATATCAAACTCGGTTATTAAAACTTTGTTTCTATTTATTTACTATGATTATAATTAATACTGCCATTCTAGTAGTAAAAGAGTATTTCCTCTTGAAAATACAAATTTCAGACATCGATGAATGCAACGGTCCAGCAGGAAATCCGTGTCAGCAGATTTGTACAAACACTGTTGGCAGTTACTCGTGTTCATGTAGTCCAGGTTATGCAATCAGTAGTGCGAATTCCAGCACTTGTGATGGTGAGTAGATTTAAACCTTTGTCGTCTTCAGACTAAAGTATACCTTTGCTGATACTTTTCGTTTCAATAAACGAAATATGATGTAGTGAAAATCTAAAAAAAAATGATACGATATGACACAATATGGGGCGTATGTATTATTTAGTTTAAACTGGAGCGGCGAGTTATTCATGAGTAACTGTTCTTGCTTCTTTCAATTAATTATTCCTAAAAAAACGTGTTTCATTGATTTATGTATACCGAAGAAGACTACAAAGTCCTTAAAATGTTTCCGCAGCCCATCTCCCCGAATAGAACGCAACTGGATATAGTACACTATTCCATTTTTGACGTCCCCAGGGTGGTGGGGGGTTCGAAAAAAAATCGCTTTTTCTGTTTGAATTTAACATAAACGATATAACAATGTAAAACAAACATAAACACGTATTTTCTATGTAGAAAGTGAAATTAAAACAATTTCGCAGTTTGTAAAAAAAAAGCATTGGATTTACACCTACAACGAGGTCACCTAAAAAATCAGTATCGTCAAGCTATTTAACGATTTTTTTTTTACCTCCCCTCCCTTTCGACAGTCAATCTTCTTCATTAAAAACCAAGACCCAAACCTAAACTGACGTCCCACCTCATAATTGTAATTTAAAAAAAAAAAGCATTTTTTTTTCTAAAATATTTACTGAACATTGTTATCGTTTAAAAGGCCTGGATTGGTTTTCTTTTGCAATTTTTAAGAAAGCTAAATTTCGGCGGTTTACACGTAATCGAGTCGGAAAAAACTGGGCTTTGCCATTCTGTCCGTGTGTGTGTTTTTCAGACATCGACGAATGCAAAGATCGTTCTACACCTCCCTGCCAGCAGATATGTACCAACACAATCGGTAGCTACTCGTGTTCTTGTGGATTTGGATACAGCGCCCTTACACCAGACTCTCGTGCGTGCATTGGTAAGTTACCATTGACGTTAAATATATTGTATTGCAGCTTTATATTACTAATTCTGAAATATAAAACTCAGTTTTAGAAAAAGTTGTATCTATATATATATAATTCTCTTCTGGGAGACGTTAGAAAACAAGCTGCAAGCGCGCCTTGCAGTCCCCTCTCTTCCTCTCTATCGCTACCACCCCCACCCCTCTCACATGATCTGGTGAGCTGTGGTTCACACTAAATGTTTACGTTTTACAATCGTAGAGCCGGGTTTGGTGACGGCTATTAGGGACAGATAATTTAGTTTGAAGCGATTTTAAACTTAGAGGATGTAACTAAGAGGAGGTTGCTTTCACCGGGGGGGGGGGGGGTAGTGTTTTAAAGCAAATATTTTCAGTGGCAGCGTCGGTTCTGTCGAATTCACAAATTATGAATTACTGAAAAGCAGAAAATAAAACAACAAAATTGCGGCGTATGATACGCCGCGTTCGTAAAATATATTCCCTATCAGTGTAGCATATACCATTGGCATAGGCAAGTGAGGGTTTATATATATATATATATATATATATATATATATAAACATACATACATATATATATGGGTCCATGGAAGTGGTTATAACCACCCCCCTTCCCTAACCCTCCCTTGCCTATGCCAATGGTATATGCTACACTGATAGGGAATATATTTTACGACCGGGGCGTATCATACGCCGCAATTTTGTTGTTTTATTTTCTGCTTTTCAGTAATTCATAATTTGTGAATTCGACAGAACCGACGCTGCCACTGAAAATATTTGCTTTAAAACACTATCAGTAGCTCGTTAAGGACGATAACCCCCGCCCTCCTTTACTCAACCCCTACCCCACACTCCCCCCCCTCCCCCGTGAAAGTAAACTCCTCTTAGTTACCTCCCCTAAGTTTAAAATCGTTTCAAACAAAATTAATTATCTGCCCCTAATAGCCGTCACTAAACCCGGCTCTACGATTGTAAACATTTAGCGTGAGCCACAGCTCACCAGACCATGTAGGGCTGGGGGTGGTAGGGAGCGCGCTTACAGCTTGGTGTTTTCTATCGTCTCCAAGAAGAGAATTATATATATAGATTACGATGACGTTTTAGATCGAGCTGTAACAGAAACTTCAATAGAGGAAAATACTTTCGAAACTTTTTAAATTATTTTTTTTGTTCAGTTCCGCCGTAATTTTATAACGTAAATGTGTATACTTCCGTACAAAAGATTTTTTTAAAGTAAATTGTAAACATAAATTAACGATTTATTTAAACAAGACTTGTTTTTATCAATTCAGCAACATGCAAAACTGTAAACAGCAGTGACCCTCGACCTCTCGTGAACCTGAACTCGAGAGTTCAAGTCATGTGTGACACAGAGACAGACGGTGGAGGATGGATCATTTTCCAAAGACGTGTTTCTGGTACTGTAGATTTTTACAGGAACTGGACGGAATACAAAAATGGGTTTGGTGATTTTATTTCAGGTAATTTTTACCTGGGCAACGAGAACATTTATCTCTTAACTTCAAACCGTCAAACCGAACTAAGAGTGGATATGATTTTCAAAGGAACACCATATTTCGCCATGTATTCCAGCTTCAACATTTCTAGCGAGTCAGATGGTTACAGACTATATGTTGGTGGATTCACGGGAAATGTCAGGGACGATCTAGACAACCACAAATACATGAAGTTTTCAACATTTGACCAGGAAAATGATCTATCTATCAAAAATAACTGCGCGCTAAAGTTTCACGGAGCGTGGTGGTATAATGACTGTTACCTGAGTAATCTTAACGGCATATACGGTGCAGAGAACACAAAAGGCAACAACTGGATTCCTTATTTAGCCTTATCATTCACCGAAATGAAATTAAGACTTCTTTAACATGTACAGAATAAAGGTAACGATGCTTTAAGTTATTATAGTTACAATTAAATGTTAGTAGCTTTAAAACCTTAAATGTTAGTAGCTTTAAAACCTTTTGTAAAACATATTGTGACCTGCGATTTAAAATGGAAAGCTTGTTATACAAGATTTAATTTGCTTCATAAAGGTAGAGTAAAGGTAAAGTTCCCTTTTTAAAACTGACGTTCTATAGGGCAAGTGAAAAAGAGTTCACTTGTTTCTGTGACCATAGTGGTCAGCACGATACCCAGCCGCCATTACTTTCCCTAACGCGAGTTGGGTACCCATCAGAGTTGGGGGGACTCAGGGACGGTCTACTGCCTTGAACCCGGTTTCGAACTCGAGACTTACCTCCCCTATAAAGGTAGAGATTAAAAACATAATCTACTTTATACATGATGTTCCCACACAAACCATCTTTAACTTTGTAATTATAAATTAGCCTGTCGCATCACAAAGGTAAAAACTTGCCACTTTTTTTAGAATGGGCGAATCGAAAATTTTAGATCAATGTTACAGGGGTTTCTGTGCATGCCACAATAGACCATAGGCACGGGAGTGTACAAATGGAGATGCCTTTAAAGAAAACATGAAGATAATTAGTTAAAACAAATGATTTTGCTAAATATAAATCTTATTTTGCCGTGTGAATTTATTAATTAACTTGCGTGTCTATGTTAATGTTATTACAGAGTAAACTGTTTTTTCAATCAATCTGTTGTTTTAATTCAGAAAATTAGTCTACGTGTGTTTAGTGCTTGTGATATGAACATTTAGGAAGTGTTACAAAGACTAAGAGTTCTGTACACATATACTAAAATATTAACTACAAAAATATGTGTGTCAAATGTTTACCACACTGTCTATATGTACTGTCTATGTAACAACGTTTTAGGGGTCATCCATAAATGACGTCACGCTTTTTTGACGATTTTTACCTCCCCCTACCCTCCGTCACACGTCGTTACAAACAGCAAGACCCCCCCCCCTAAAATGACGTCACACTTCAGCCTACAAACCCCCCGCCCCCCTCAAAACTGCTGTTGATTTTTTCTAAAAACATCGATATTTTTCTAAAATCTTGTCAGAACTCTGTCAACTTAGAATATTTCGATCAATTCCTATTACTATTTATTAAAACTGTTTTCTAAAACGCGAAATAACGGCTAAAACTCGTTTTCTAACATTGCTTTTTTATAATGCAAAAGTGTGACGTCACTCCATCTGAAGATCCACCCTCCCCTTCATCACACATCGTCACAAAATTACGGATCCCCCCCCCCCGTCCCCCTACGAGTGTGACGTCATTTATGGACGACCCCTTAGTGATGTTAGTTGTATGTTTAAATTTTTAGGGTTACTGCATTTAAAAAAAATTCGATTATGATATTGTAATATTGTATACAATTATAGGTTATAAACGGACGGAATTTTATCTTAAACTCGAGTGTTGCAGAAAGAATAGTAAAATAAAATAAGTCGTTCATCAATTTAATTTTATGTAGAATTAAGTTACTCTTTATACAATGATAACATATTTAAGAAAAAAGAGACTTTAATTGCAGCGAAAAGATGAATTGTGGTGATTGTTGTTTTTATGTAGTAACTTGTGTAGTACTGTTCGTCCCTGTTCAATCCTCGTAATGTGAGTCATATTGTCACGTGTCATCATCCCGCTTATACTTGTTTATGCTTGCTTGTGTGCGTGTATATAAGGTGTGTGACAACCGGTTTTGCATGCATCATTCCAGTACTTTTCATCTATACCTTAGTGTAGGTTTGTGCTGTGCATTTTATTTTTGTTGCAAGTGTATCGTAGATTTGCATACCTTTTTGTGTTTGTGTAAACAATGTAGATAGGACTATATCAAACTTCTATTTGGTGTTTAGTGGGCGTTTGTTGTTTTCAGTGTTGTGTTCTGTAACCTGTGTGTGATTTTTTGTCTTATGTGTTGTGCTCCACGTGTCAATGTGTACACAGCATAACTGTTATTAATACTTATTTCAATGAATTTTAAGTTAACTATTATTAATACTTAACTTAAAATTCATTGAAATATGCGAAGCGCAATTTTTAAATAGAATTAGAGCAGTCATAGACAAACAATAGTAATAAAATAATCAAATTAAGTTGCTTTTCTTGTCTCAATATTTGTGGATTTTTCAATGTGTATTTTATATATAATTCTTAAATTTTCATTTGTTTTAATATTTGCTTTGCAGAGGGATTTATATTTGTTATTTTTAAACACATTTTATATCAACCTGGGCTTACGTTTCTTAGAATTATACATTTCTAGACTTTTACTACAAAGAAGGCTTGTTTGTAGGCCTATTTGTTTTGTGGTTATTATACAATGTGGAATAAACTTTTTAATTTAACATGTGTTTCCTTTTAAAATTTATTTTCAAATGCAAAAGCATTTAATATTGGCGACGCTTGCCTATATAAACTAACAGATTATTACCAACCTCTTCTGCTATGATCTATATTGTTTTATAATCATATATATATATATATATATATATATATATATTTATATATATATATATATATATATATATATATATATATATATATATATATATATATTAGTAACGCATATAAATTATAATATAAAATGTGTGGAATAGCCATTGCTTCAATAGTAGGCCTACTTCAAAAGTGTTACTTTAATTCCTTCCAACATGGATGTGTCTCCAAAAAATAATTCCATTTATGTAAAATAATATTATGTTAAAAAATATGATGGGTGTCACTACAAAATACACCACGTTTCATCTTCACCGGTCAAGTATTATGCAAATTAGAACATGTGTACTCATTCTTACAATGTAAGACAGAAGAGTAAACTTAATATAAAACATACATGTTGAGACAAAATAATCTTGAAAAAAGCTGAACTTAAAGTGAGAAATGCACTGTTTATCAATGCAAATCATTATATTAGATATTTGTTTATTTCAAAATCACCTATTTCTAGTAGCTACGAAACAAAATTTTTCATTTGGGCTATTTGTTATTACTCCTAAAATAGGACTACAAATTTAGGCTAAGAAGTTATACTGGCTAATTTTTCAGTTTATTTAAGCAATCATTTAAGCAATCACATTATAACAGTAGTATTTTAAAAAGTCGGTAAAGGTATCTTTTATTAACTGGTAATGACGCAACCCAATAGATATACGAAGGACGAAAACAACAACAGTAAAATGAAAAGAATTGATGTGACAAAGTGTGGAAGATATACAACGCATGAGCGACCTTGTTGGCAAGTCAGGCTGCTGTTATAAACCGATTTGATTCAAAAATATGTCAGGGGAATTGAGGCGAAATAAATGTTGAATACATCAACAATTCTAAATTATGGTGTAATACATGTCCTTGATTGAACTTTATTAATAATGTTGTTGATCCGAGTTGGTAATGCCGTTTATGGTGTGTTAAATGTTTGTAAATTTATGTTAATTTTTTTTTATAGTGTTTCACGTCATTTATGTGTTCATAGTTTAAAAAATATAATATGGTAAATAAATGTTTATAGACAACACAAAAAACTAAGATTATGTCCAATACAAAAC